GGTATAAGAACAAAAATGAATTCATATATCATAATAAAAAGAAAGAGTAGGGATGAAAATGGTTAGATTGTCTACGTGACATGTGAACTTTTTAATTAGTCAAATATATTGATAGATTATATACAAATGGATTCATTAAAAATGACTCAAATTTTATAAGGATGGAGTAGTTAGTGTTAGAGTATAAAATAGTTAGTAGATTGACATCAAAGAGGTTGTCTAGAGTGATAATAGTATTTCTTACGTTTCAATTCTTCGAATGAATGAATCTTTTTTATGTTCATTTCTTTTCACGCTTTATCTCTTTTTCACGTTTTTGGAATTAGGGAAATTGTTACAACGGGGGATTACTGAATGATTAAAACCGTAGTAAATATTATCAAAACCGATTCTGGAAATAGAGAAATCGTTATATACTCACAACTTTGTAATTCAGAAAATAAGAAAAAAGAATTGCTGAGAACCTTGTTAAAATAAATGTTGTTGAGACGTGCAGCCTCTTCTTTTTGTTCTTCTTTTGGTTTGTTATCACAACAGCGGTTTGCTAATTGATCCATTCTCTTTCCGACAAAAAAAATAAAGAGGCTATGGACCTGATGACGTGTCACTCAGTTTTCACTAAATTTGTGTCCTGCCATTTGTGTTTGTCTGTGTTACAATGAATGAATAAAATGTCAAAACTGATAGGAACTCTCATGTGCGCTGGACAAATTTCCACATTGGAAACCAACCAAACACTTGTATGGAATCCTTCGAAAGTCATAACCATTTTGTGCCATAAATTGATGTGGTTAAAATGAATTAGTTGGTAGGATATTATTCGGAATGCATTTTTGAGATTCATTGAACGATTCATTTTGTAGGGGGTTGTTCATCGGGAAGCGTTGTTGTTGCTGGATTTCTAGATAAATTGATCAATTTGTTAGAGGAGAACTGAATAATTTTTTTTTTTGCTGAAACGCAAATTTTCTGTCGGTTAGATTGTATACGTGACGTATATTTTATCAACTCATCATTTTCATTGTAACCATCAGTTTTATATTCTTGATATTTATACAACATACAGTACTTCATTCGTTTCATAAAAAATACTACCTTTTAATATATTTTTTGTTTTACAAAAATTATTGTTTTCATTTTTTTGTTAAAAGTTTTTTAAAATAGATTCACACACAAAAAGAAATGTTTTCTAACGTGACTTTTGAAATGTATTCATGTTTTATCTTTGATTAACAACTAAAAAAAGTACTTATTAAATATCTAAACAATAGTCAGCCCACTCGGCCTTCTCTCAACCTGTTTCCTTTAAACCATTTACGGTTTTGCTGCGTTGAGTAATAATAATCGCTTGGAGTTAAAAGTAATGAGCTAGTCTTATAGTACACCAATGCATTCAATCCATTTCAAACATATGATAAGGTGCATGTAAAACTTTGTCCACTCGAAAAAGCATACAATTCACGAGAGAAAAATCATAACAATGGCAAATGATAATTAGGCATACAGAAAGAAAAATTAACATGGAAAAGCTAAGATAACACTGTTTTTTTGTTGCTGTTTTCCTTGTGGTGCCTTTGTGTGATATAACTATCACTTAGATGCAGCAGTTTCATAGTCAATAACGGTTTGAAAAGCTCCAGCAAGAGCCAAAACCTTGTTCTTCCTTGGGTTCTCTTGCATCTTACTTGCTATTACATCGTTGTATGCTGATGGAGATTCCTTCTTCCCTTTCACTACTTCCTTCTTTGACTCTTCTTCTCTAGTAACCTTCTCCTTTTCCTCTTCTTGCACTTTCTCCTTCTCTTCTTCTTTAGTAACCTTCTCCTTCTCTTCTTCTTTAGTAACCTTCTCCTTTTCCTCTTGTTTCACTTTCTCCTTCTCTTCTTCTTCTTTCACTTCCTCATCTTTCTCCTCTTCTTTCACTTCTTTTTCTTTTTCTTCTGGAGTCTCTTTGACAATTTCAACTTCTTTCATGTCAATATCAACCTTCTCCGGAGTCTCATGCTCATCAACAATCTTCCTCTTTACCTCATCTTCCTCCTCGACACCCTTGTTGACTAGGTTATTAGTCTCTTGTTCTTTTGTTTCTTCTATCTTCTCTTCGGTTTTATCTTCTTTGATCAATATTTCTTTTTCATCTTCTTTGGCAACAACAACAATGCAATCTTCTACAACAGGGGAAGAAGCAACCGTTGTTGGTCCACCACTCACATTCACTTCAACAGATTCATCGGCTTGCACAGCCTCTACTTGCACCTCTAGAGTTACTTTTTCATCTTTTGGTTCTTCTATATCATCAGCAAGTACTTGTACATGACTCTCAACCTTGAGAATCTCCTCTTGATCATCCTCTTGAGCAGACGCAAGAGAGGCAGTATCTAAGGGAATATCTTTATCAGCTACTTTCTTCGCTGTAACATTTGTAGAACCTTCCTTTTTGCTCTTCGAAGAAGTGCTACTACTGCTCAAACCGCTCTTCTTTGGAGCCACATGAGGAGACTTCACTGTAGTACCTCCTTTTGGAACACCTCTGCTTCCATGGAAAGAGGAAGAGCGTTGAGCTGTGACAGGCTTCTCTCTAGGAACCGTTGGTCTGTCTCGTGGCAGAGAAGGAGAGACGTTGAGAGATTTTTGGATATG